TGGTGTGCAAGCTCAGATATTTTAATGAGTCAACTGGAGGTAAAAAAAAAAAGTACTTGTTTGCATCCCATGAAAATTGTACTAATTGCAACTAATGAATTATTTTTTTTGTTAAAGTAGGGCTTTATTTCAGCGTTTTGCACGACGGAGAAAATTTCTACAAACGAAGGAAGTGATTCAAAATTCCAAAACGGCAGAAGAAATTGACAGCCAACTTCCAAAAAACTAACGAGATTCATTTTCTTAGCAAATACAGTACTCGTACACAAAATTTTGCGTTCTTTGCTCGTCCAAAGATATTTCCTGATCTTCTTTGCCGAATCTCACAAATTTTAAGCTCCAATTTTATCATTCAAATGCAGATTAGCTGCTGTCTGTTAATACTGTGAGCCATTCAGCCCAAATTGGCGTTCCTTGTTGGTTTTTTTTGTTGATTTTTCTTCACTTGCCACTAGATTTTGCACTTTATAACGCAACTACTTCGCACTTTGTTACCACATAAGCATTTTGAAGAAGCTTTTTCGTTGTCTTAGCTTGCTGATATACAAAGCCTGAGGAGGAGGTATCCTATAGTGGCTGATTTCAGAATGCTTGTGCTTGTGTCTTTTTTGTGCATCACTTGCGTTGCTGACAAAACGAATAAGATCTCAAATGCTCCAGATATTTCTCGGAAGGCTGATTTCAGCTATGCGGATAACATGCAAAGCAAATAGCGGTTTAAAGCTAGGGCAACAGTCAATCCCCAAGCGCTCCAGCATGCAGCAGCAAGAGGCGGGACAGGCCTTTTTTCTTCTCACGATCAAGAACTAAGGGATTAAAGTTACGCAAAAAATATATGTAGAAAATTGAGCCAAGTTCGGTGAGGAAATATGAAAAATACAACCGCATATGAAAAAGTGAACTGCCGAACGTTGGGAAGCAAAAAGTCCAAAAAGGCCACTTTGGTGAGCAAATGCTGATTTTCCTTTGCTCGTCGAATTTCACTGTCGCGTGGCGCAGTGATACGCATCCACTGCTAAAATCATTGTCCAGAAATAACTTATCAGTCCACTTCAGAATTCTCTATTTTCGAGATGTACAGCAATAATATGAATGCGATATAAGTCCTAGTTAAATGATTTGCGTCTGTCTGTGGTACTCGAAAACGTATGACTTTTGAGGTCGATCTGTGAGAACTAGGCAATGCAGTAATGTACAACGGTTTATTTACAATATACACAAGTGAAATAAGATACCCTTGTTGAGCTACAACGTGGTCACGGTTTATCACATAGCATCTCGGTAATCCACCGATGAACTGATGCGAAGATCCAGATGTACGTCAGTGGTGCCTGTGCTGAACCCTAAGTGTTGAAATTAAGTAGTCGCAATTACGTTAACAAACGGAGAGCAGAGAATCACTGGATTCAGAAGAGTGGACGACCGACACGCTGGTGAGGTGACAAAGTCCATGGCTGCTTGTACTCGCCTGTTTTGTAGACTTGCAAGGGGATCTTTCAACAATGATAGAGGCTGGCTTTCTCAGCCTTCCATATGCGAAGGTAGCGCACTATGATCACATTTTAATTGTTTTTCTAACTTTCCGATCTGGTTCTAGATCCTCCGAAAACATTACGAAGCAAATATGCGTTACGTTTAGGCTATCTTTAAAACGTAATGCTAAAGCATTTACTTATTTTATTTTGACAAGCGATCCCGTTAGAATCTTCCAATGTTTTGCATTTTATTACACATTTTTTTTTGCGTTTTTTTTGCAGCAATGCAATGCGAAAAACGCATATTGACGAGAGGTTGTCTGTGTGTCCGTGTGTCTTTGTATCTGTGTGTACGTCTGTCACGCACTTTCATCTCAGGACCTATGAAAGATACGGGACTGAAATTTCGGGAACTTAATCTACATGCACGTGCCGGCCCCAATCCCCAAAATGGGCGCCAAAACCCCGCATGGTACCCGAGTACGGGCCCCCCAAAGTTTTTTCGGAGTCAGCTCATAACTCGAGGATCTGAGAAGCTAGAAGGCTGGTATTCGCGTACGGGCCCACCAAAGTTTTTTCCGGGCAAGTTCATAACTCGGGGGTCCGAGAAGCTAGTAGGCTGAAATTTTGCAATAATATTCCCCGCTCATACGGGTATTAGTGGGCTCAAACCCAGCCCTCGGGCAAGCGTGGTACCCGCGTACGAGCCCGCCGAAATTGTTTTCGGGTAAGTTCGTAACTCGGGGATCTGAGAAGCTAGAAAGCTGGAATCTTAGGATGATGTTCCCCGTCTAAGTGGGCACTAGTGGGCTCAAACTCAGTCCCCGGGTAAGCGTGGTACCCAAATACGGGCCTGCCAAAATTTTTTTCGTGTAAATTGACAACTCAAGTACCTAAGAAGCTAAAGGAATGTAATTTTAAGAGGATATAAGTTTCATTCAGCTCGAACCCAGCTCTCAGGTATGCTTGGCAAACATGCACAGGCCCGTGATAATTTTGTTCTAGTAAGTTGCTAACTCAGGTGCCAGGGAAGCTAGAAAGCTGAAATTTTAAGGGGATGTTTTCTGACAGTTCTGGCGGCCAGTTTTAATTTGTTTGGCTAGAAGCATTTGCCGAAAAAACCAGTGCCGGTGGCAACAAAAACTGCGGGGAACCATGTAAAAAAAGCACCTTCGCACGGGCAGCCCGTGCGTTGGCCAATTATATTATTTTCAAGTTGTTCTAGACAATTTTCTTTTGTATTTGGAATATATTTAGCATATATTGATTTTTGAAAGGACATTAGGACTATGGGGCAGAGGCTCCATGTCTTTTGAAGCTCGAAACGCTACTGTCGTGTTCAACGGAAGTTGTGAAAGTAGCGACAAGTTTATCCCTAGTACGAAAAAATCCCTCGCAGTTTTAAATTCAATACTGTCAGTTGTATGTAAACTTTCTGCAACAGACTTTTAAAGAAAGCTAGTGTACA